CCTCTGAGCTTTATCCCTGGGCAAATGCTATCCTTTTGATTTCATATGGTTGATTGTCCTAGGTCTTCTAGGTCTGTCTATTGTTTGGCTGAAAGTTGAGCCATAGGGGTGAGTTCAGTCTTAGGCTTGAAGGGTGTTGACTGCTGCTTTCATGAGCATTTATTTTGGATCCAAGTAAAATGAAACCCTTGACAACTGCAACCTTTTCTCTGCTTATCATGATGTCCAGTTGTGAGGATTTTTTGGGGTTTTTTTATGTTGAGGTATAATCCATACTGAAGAATGTAGTCTTTGATTTCATCAGTGAGTGCTTCAAGTCCTCTTTGCTTTCAGCAAGCAAGGTTGTATCATCTGCATATCTCAAGTTGTTAATGAGTCTTCCTCCACTCCTAATGCCATGTTCTTCATACAGCCCAGCTTCTCAGATTATTTGCTCAGCACACAGATTGAATAAGTATGGTAAAAAGATACAACTCTGATGAACATTTTTCCTGATTTAAAACTATGCCCCCAAAAACCCACAGCCATCACATTGATTCTGACTTATAGTGATCCTATAGGATCAAGTCAATCTGCCCCCATAGAGCTTCCAAGGCTGTAAATATTTTTGGAAGCAGATTGCCTCATCTTTCTTTTGTTGAACAGCTGGTGGGTTTGAACTGCCAACCTTTTGGTTAACAGCCAAATGCTTTAACCACTTGTTCTGGTTACCTAGTACCACTCTGACAGGAAATATACCACAAATGGGATGTCCTTAACAAACAGGAGTTTATTATCTTACAGTTTGGAGGCTCTAGTGCCAGGCTCTAGGGGCTGGGTAAAAGCCCCTTAACCTTGGGCTTCAGCTTTGCCTCTTGCTCCTGGCCCACTGAAGCTAGAGGCATCTCTTCACTCAGGCAGTTACTAGCTGCTGAGGCTAACAAGCCCAAGGTCAACAAAGAAAAAGGCACAGTCCCAATGTTACCAAACCGCACGGAAGACCATTAATTTAAGTCCATTGTAAGTCCCAAGGTTGCCAGAGCATGGCAGGTTACTGAACAACAACATGACCACATGCAGAGTCCAAGCGTGCCATAAACTAAAGACCATTCCCTAAGGCTTCTCCTTATATACACAGGAAGCAGACCACATTCCCTAAGGCAGCTACTCAGCTGCTTGTGGTAGATCCTACCATGGAGTTGATTGCCAGTCTCATCATGGGGAATAACTACCACCAGCTGCCCAGCCACTCAACCAGGCCCAGCCAAGTTGACACACAAACTGAACTACCACACCACTGAACCACCAGCACTCCTTAAAATCCTGCAGTACCCCTTAAATAAGATAAAGACTGAATAATACCCAATACAGCATCTGACAGTCAGGAGGTTCTCAGCCAATGTTGATTCCCCCCTTCTCTCTCTTGCTGCAATTTGTCTGAGTTGAAGGCAAGGAGAAGGGAAATGGTAAAGACTGATAGGAGTGAACTGTCTAGAAGAGAAAGAGAATAAATGTAAGAGACTTATTCCTTGACATGAATAGATTGCTACACTTACACAGTTTTCTTGAGATTTGGACTCACTTTGATTGGCTCTGGTGGCATAGTGGATAAGGCATTCAGTTGCCTCAGTGGTTCAAACCCACCAGCCGCTCTATGGAAGGAAGATGGGGTGATCTACTTCCATAAAAATTTATAGCCTCAGGAACCCAGTGGGAGGTTGTCGCTATGAATCAGAATCTACTCGATGGCGGTGAGTTGTTTTTTTTTTTTTTTTATTTTTTACATTGCATTTTTGAAATGCTGATTTGTGGAACCATGTTCACAGATCTTTAATGGGTTTTATCTTTATACATTTAGAGGTTCTGCTGTAAATCTTATAAACCCAGCAGCTATGGTGGGCATTGGCCATTAGCCACATAGAGCATTGTTTGTATCTTTATCTTTCTTCAGATATAGTTTCCAATGAAAACTTGAAAATATTTTTTTAAAAAATACCATTTTCTGTTTTGACACCTTATCCTGGAGCATTCTGCATAGAGCACCTTATTTCATCAGCACTTATTTAATCAGCAGATCTGCCACTGCCCACTAGTCATTGCTGTCTGGTAGATGTATACATTTAGCAGAGAAAATACTGAATTACAGTCATTATTTACCTAGTTCTGAAACTCCACAGCTACTGGGTTAACTGCAGTTATTGAAACCACACCACGGATGTAAATGACTAGATTATTAAGAGCTGCCTTGGATTTTAATTGTGGACCATGAGTTACATTCTTGTTCTTCAATGAAGACCACATGCCTTATAGTGATGCCTGTCACCTGAGGGCCTTGATTTACAGAAACAGGCCATGAAGCATACATAATAGATGGAATGAACTTAGTGACTGAAAAGAAGTAACCTTAATAATTCTCCCATGACACTTTGGAGTTAGATGTTTGTACCCAACTATTCCCTCAACACCACCCCGCCACAAGCCCCATCTCATCAGCCTGCTAATGTTGATTCCCGAATTTCCCTGGCTTTGAAGCTCCTCACTTTAAAGATACAGAGCCTCTCTAGCCAAACTCTCCCACCCCTTCCTCTGACAGGCCCCAGCAGCAGTCACCCATATGCTCAGAACAAGCTTGCACATTGGGCACCACTACTACTTTATTGGCTCTGCCGGCATTTGCAGTGTCAATTGGGAAGAAGTTTGCTCTCCACAAAGCATTGTAGCTTGAGACTTCGCAATATGTCACATGTCTCCATGTTCTCTTCAACCTCCATCCAAGTGCTGGAGCTACAGTGTGCTTCCTGCAGTAAAACAGAAAGAGTCTTCCCTACCTCCAACTCTGTGCTCCACCTGTCACCTGGGCCCTAAGCCAGAACAGTCTGACACACAAATAAATAGCTTCTTCAGATTATGCCTGTCACACTCCCACTTCCTCCATTCACCATATGAGGTGACCTCAGGGACAGTGGAATAGCCATATCTCCTCCACTGTTTCCAACTCTTCCTTCTGTCCCATAGGTATGCATGAACTAACTTTTTCCTTTCTTTTTCAGTAGAAAATCAAAAGCCTTTATGGATATAAATTCAGGCGCATTGATACCTTTGGGCTATCAGCCTCATCTTCTCAGTCTCTACTTGGATTCAGCCAGGCACACACTTCTACTCATGCTTGACATTGTCTGGTTCTTCTGAGCTCATTAATAAAAGAGAACTGAGACATCGTTAGGGTCTTATGGAGTCATCAGCCAACGTATGTGGTTGTCCTATGAGAACAATCCCCAGGAAAATGAATTTCAGTGTCAATATTAGATAGAGGAATGACTCTTGAGGACCTTATTAACTCATTTTGGTATAACTGCCTGTTGAATGAGATAGAGCTCAAAAGGTGTAAGGTATTTTGGCTTAGAAAATACCCCTGCAAGTGTTTGAAAGTATTCATTTTTGTGAGCTTCATCACAACTGGGAAGTTTATTCTCTGGCATTCAGTTCCCCTAGGGCAGGTATGTAGTAAATAAGCTGGCCTTGCCCCAAGTGAACTTCTGGCATTTACCTTCAGTTTCTGGGAGATAATCTCTGGGTTCTCGGAATGTTAAGTTTGATAGGAGTGTCTTTGCTTTCCTGGGGACCTTAAATCACTGGACAATCTAAAAGTGAAACCTAGGACAACAGAAAGACTAACCATGTGATTTAGGGTAGGGGTTTTGTGTCATGTGCTATAAGTTGCCTTAGAGACCAAGATCAACCACATGTGTGATCAAAATCAATCCATCATGCCTACATAATGAAGCCTCAATAAAAACTCAGAACACTGAGACTTGAGTAAGCTTCCCTGGTTCACAATATTCATGCATATTGTTACACATCAGTTTTGGGTAAGGGATATGTCCTAATTCCATAGAGAGAGGATATGTTGTTGTTGTTGTTATGTGCTATCAAGTCGGACCCAACTCATAGCGACCCCTCCTTGGGTTTCCAAGGCGTTATCACTACGGAAGTAGATTGCCCAACCTTCCTTCCGAGGAGTGGCTGGTGGATTTGAACTGCCAGCCTTCTGGTTAGCAGTCAAGTGCCTTAGGCACTACACTACCAGAGCTCCCAGAGAGAGGATATAGAAGCTTCATATTTGGTACTCCCTGAACTCCACCCATGGTAACTAAGCATTGCAAATGGTTTGTGCTCAACTGCTAACCTAAAGGTTGTCTGTCTACCCATCCAGCAGTACCCCTGATGAAAGGCTTTGGGATCTGCCTCCATAAAGATTACAGCCAAGAAAACTCTATGGAGCAGTTCTACCCTGCAACACATGGAGTCACCATGTGTCAGAATCAACTCAATGGCAATGGGTTTGGTTTTTGGTTTGGGGATCCTACCCTGTGTACTTCTTGTCTTGGCTGATTTTAATTTGTATCCTTTCCATCAAATAAACTGTAAGTGTGGGTATAATAGCTTTCAGTGAGTTCTATGAGTCTTTATAGAGAATTGGCAAACCTAAGGGTGACTTTGGGAAGTCCTCAAGCTTGTAGTTAGTGTAAGAAGCAAGGATAGGCAACCTTCTGTTGATGCTGTGTACCTTCTAAACTTTGTAGTTGACTCTAACTTTTCAGAGCAGGATTCATGGAATCCAGATAAACAGAAAAGCATACCATTCTCATCACTCAGACTGAAGAGAAGATAATCAAAAAAACCAAACTCACTCCCGTCAAGTCAGATCTAACTCATAGCAACCTCTCCTTGGTTTTCTGAGGTGGTATCACTAAGGAGGCAGATTGCCTAATCTTCCTTCTGAAGAGTGGCTGGTGGGTTTGAACTGCCAGCCTTCTGGTAGCAGTCAAATGCCTTAGGCACTAGGCCAAGAAAACAAGGAGCAAAGATGTAGTTCTTTGTATCAACATAGTGTGCCATGTTTTAATGACCAGCATTCTCAGTGTTAGGTCTCAGTGAGAAGATATCTTTTTTTTTTTTTTTTCCTTAATGACCTCATCCTTTCTTACCCTTTTATTTTATTTTTTTAAAACTAAAAACAGGACCTCCAGTTATTCATTCTGGAATCAAAGACCTCAAGGTCTTGAAAACAACTCAGTCTGGATTTGAAGGATTCATTAAAGACCAGTTCACCACCCTCCCTGAGGTGAAGGACCGGTGCTTTGCCACCCAAGTGTACTGCAAGTGGCAATACCACCAGTGCAGAGATGTGGACTTTGAAGCCACCTGGTATGAATGGGTGTGAGGGCCTGGCTCTGAGGAAGGTAGTAATTTTCTCTTTGCAGGGGCTCAGAGTTCATGGAGTGTTATATCTGAAAGGGATTCCTAGTTTGAGGCTCTCTGTTTTTAATTTACTAAATCAGTGGTTCTCAAACATTAATTGGCATTAGAATCTGTTAAAACACAGATTGATAGAGCCCACTCCCCAGAGTTTCTGATTCTGTAGGTCTCGGGTAGGACCATAGCATAGTGCTTAAGGCACTTGATTGCTAACCAGAAGGGTGGCAATTCAAACCCACCAGCCACTCCTCGGAAGGAAGTTTGGGCAATCTACTTCCGTAGTGATGCTGCCTCAGAAATCCAGGGAGGGGTCGCTATGAGTTGGATCCGACTCGACGGCAAATAACAACAACAACAACAACAGGGTAGGATCCAAGAATTTGTGTTTCTAACAAACTCCCATGTGATGCTGAAGCTGGTAGACTGGGAAACCACACTTTAAGAACCACTGGATTAAATGAAGATAATAATATCTGGCCTTAGTAGCTCAGAGGGTTGCAGGGAGGGCTAAACTAGTTTAGGGTGACTCACTTTTCCCAGGACTTTGCTGCTTTTAGCAATTGAAGTCCTGGTAAACCCTTTGGTCCTAGGCAAACTGAGACTATCAGTCACCCTGGGCTAAACTTAAAATAAGATGATATCCATAGAAGCACTTTGTAAATGATAAATGCTTTAAAAATGGAAAGGTATGATTCTTACTATAATATCCTTGACAAGCAATAATTAGGCTTATGAACTCACAGAGACAGAGAACTTGCTTTTTGACTAGGCATCTCATTTCATTTCTAAAGCTCTAATTGTTAGGAATTTTTACCCTATGATAAGCTGGAATGTGCCTCCTGGTAGCTTGCTCTTACTGATACAGTTTTATTCTGCTTCTTTAATTATGTGATAATGTGAAAATATGGCTCTGCAAAACCTACAGACCTTTCCTTCTTAAATCAGACTACTTCGAAGTTTCTCAATTACTTAATTGCCTGATTACTGTGTTCTTTTTTGCATCAGTGTATGTGGCTATTTTTGCCCTTCCACTTCCTGTCCTTACCTGATAGGTTTCTATTAAGCCTTTAAGACTCAGCTCAAAATGTCTTCTTTTGGGTGAAATTCTCCCTAGACCTTCTAGTCATGAGCATAGTGGGTATTACGATGTATTGTCTAGTACTTAGTGGGAAATCAAATATTCTTGAATGAATGAATATTCATGTACACGCCAATCTCAACTATTAGAACAAAGACCATATTTTATTCATATTAGTATTGCAAAGGCTAGTAGAATACTTGGCTTGTAAGTATCTAAAGAATATTTGGCATATGAATTATGCAAAACAATAAATGTTTAGTGATCACATAATATGTGTTACTAGAGATGTAACAGTAAAATGAAATAGGCAAAATTTCTGGCACTGTAGAGCTTAACTTTCTGGGAAAATAGATAAACAAGAATGATATGATATTAGTGATAAATGCTAGGAAGAAAATAAACTAAATGAATGAGTGATGACATTGGAATTTTGCCTTTCTGTGGGGACTCAGTCAAGTAACTATTCAAGGGACCAGCCAAGCTGAGCAGTAAGAAGGTCAGAGTGTTTGAATCCTCTTTATAAGTTCTTCAAATGTGGAAGGAGGTTTACCCTGGAATGCCCACTTGGCCCTGGTGTTAGACTACGAAGACAGCTTAATGATAGTCAATGTTTGTTGAATGGTGGTGGTTGTAGTAGTGGTGGTGGTGGTGGTGTGTGTGTGTGTGTGTGAGAGAGAGAGAGAGAGAGAAGGGGAATGGGAAGTGAGATTTCTTGGGATTATAAAATATTAATCTCTTCTAAAACCAGCAATAACATTATTTTCTGAGGGACAGAGAGGTCACTGCTTCTCAGCTTTCTAATGAATTCTTGAGAGTCCTCAGTTCCCTTCTCTGGGTTTCAGGGACACTGTTCGGGATATTGTCCTGGAGAAATTTGCTGGGCCCTATGACAAAGGCGAGTACTCACCCTCTGTCCAGAAGACCCTCTATGATATCCAGGTGCTCACCCTGAGCCGGATTCCTAAGGTACATTTTGTTACTTTTCATTCTGAGGATTGAGAGAATTTGTTGTGTTTCCTGTCAGCTCTAAGTGAGAGTTAAAATAAGAAATCATAAGATACAGGAAAAATGACATCTGTTATTGTTCAAAAGCTTGTTATAGCAAGTGAGAAGAGAACAAAAAATGGAAAAAATCTGTCTAATTTAAAAACATAGGCCACTGCTGTGGTTCTTTAGTTTTATTGAGAATTCTTTGAGTTATTTCAACTTGCTGAATTAGACCTCATATTCAGGACACCTGAGTGCTTTGAGGGAGTGGCAATAAAATGGAGGACCTATATTTCAGGGGAGTCAGAGAACAAAGGTTAGATGTAGAGAGATACTGTCCATCCATCCATCTGAGCATCCATTTGATATTATTGCATGGTTATTATGTCTCTGCCAGGACATGAGGGATACAAAGATAAATTAGAAATGGTCCCTATCCTGAAAGAGCTCATCGTTCAGTGAAAAAAAAAAAAAAAAAAAAAAAGAAGAAGAAGAAGAAGAAGAACATAAGTAAACTAACAAAACACTAGAGAATAGAGTATTATGGAAATACAAAGGAATGCACCTAACTCAAGTTTAGGGGACAGGGCTGGCTAGGTTCTCTGGAGGGAGAGGTGCTTGCGTTGAGGCTTTAGGGATAAAGTGGGGTTATCTGGGTTCACACTTCATTGTGAGGGAGCAGGGGGAAGTTATGGAGACAGGAGGCAGCCTGGTATAGTTATTTACTGTTGAGCTTGTTGACCATATGTGAAGCTCTAAGAGTGAAAGTATTACCATGTGCCCAGAGACAGGGTCCAAATCAGGAAGAGCTATTTTGGGCTTAGCTACAGAGTCTGTACATTATCCTGAGCTCTCTTAGGATATAAGCAGGGTGTGGCATGACCAGATTTGCATTCTAGAAAGATCACTGTGAAAGAAGTGTGAATTAAAAGGCTGACAGATCACAGGCAAGGAGATCTGTTGAGAGGTTTTTGCAGAAATCTGGCAAGGATAGCCTGAAATAAGGCAGTGGTGGGGATGGACAGGAGGAGAGGAATACTTCCTTTAGGCCCAGACAAGAGGAATTCCTGCCATGACCAAGTACTTTAGAAACCCTTTTCTGGCCTTCCTCCAGCTATGCCTCTCCACTGGGTGAGGTGTTTGTGGGTCCCTGGGAACAAACCCTCCAGGAGCCTACATATCCCCTTTTAGACCACTCTGTGGATACCTGGACCTCCAGAATTTCCTGCCCAGATCACCCTGTGCCTACTTCTGAGCCTGCACAGGTGTCTTCCCCAGATTTACCTTCTAGAGGACAGATCATGCCATTGGTGTACACACCATTAGACTTGAGGGTTATCAAAGGGGCAGCTGTTACAGGAGATGTGAATAGGAATTGATGTGCAGGCTGGATAATTAATTAATGCACCCACATTAATTCAAGAGAGAAAGTGGGTGGGCCAGGGCTAGGGGTTGGCTCTTCTCACGCTGCCATGTCTTGGCATGACACTCTAAGGAGTCAGAGAATTTTAAATTAGAACGTGACCTTCCAGGTCATTTAAAAAAACCACCACACTCACTGCCATGAAGTCAGATCCGACTCATAGTGACCTCTCCTTGGGTTTCCAAGGTGGTATCACTACGGATGTAGATTGCCCAACCTTCCTTCTGAGGAGTGGCTGGTGGATTTGAACCATCAGCCTCTGGTTAGCAGTCAAATACCTTAGGCACTATACTACCAGAGCTCTTCCAGGTCATTACAAAGGTATATTTGTAAAGTTAGAAGACTAGAACATATTTTACTCATAAAAATTTGTTATTTTGATTTATAACCTTTAAATCTTTAGGAATCTAATACATGGGCTTCCAATTATTGTCTTACCCCAAGGCCTAGAGAGGAGGGAATGAAATTAGGAGGAATTTGGGAGGTTGACTTGCCAGCATATAGGTATCTTAGATTTGTGATCCAAAGAACCCTTACTTTTCAGAGGAGCAGATGTTGTACACTGAGAAAGGTTGGCTTACCCTCTAATAGTAGGGCTAGTAGGAGAGAAGAAGGTCGGACAATAGAGAGGCAGCAGATGGTGCTTCAGAGGCAGAGGCAGAGCCTAAGTGAGATGTGGGGGTTGGTGATAGAAAGACACACCATTGCTCAGTGTGATACATATTATTGTTCATTACAGATAGAAGACATGGAAATCAGCCTGCCAAATATTCACTACTTTAACATAGACATGGCCAAAATGGGACTGATCAACAAGGAAGAGGTAAGAGAACTTTGAAAATTAGTCAAAGCACAATTCCCCACCCCTCTTTATAAACTTGGAATGATAATATCACTGACTGAAACTCAGCAGCTATTGCTTTGGGGAATACTTATAGTTGGCCACTGATTAGAGCTCTCTGAGACCCTGGGCCTTTCAATGCCTGAGGCTAGAGTACCCTTGAAGTGGATGAATAATTATAGAGGATGGTTGGAAGCTGCAGAGGGAAAGACAAAGAAAGAACACAGTGTGCCCAAGGAAACAGCTCAGAGATCTGCTGCCTCAAAAGGTGCCACACAAGGTTACAGCTTCATTATTCTTCATTATGAGGCAATAGGGAGAAAAAAAAGATGCTATTTTAGTTTCTTCCATCACCTCTACCTTTGATTATGTTGTCAATTCAATAGCATACACAACACATAGAAAGAAGAAAGAGTATTTGTGTTTCTAATTGCAATTACAGAAGGCAAGAAGAAGTAGTTCACTTTTTGAAAGGAAACCTTACCTTGGAAAAAGCACCAGCCCTGACTCACTTTTAGCCATGGCAGAAAGTTAAACCACTTAGTATGTCCATCTACCAACCCCAGACCCACTGCTGTTGAGTTGATTCTGACTCATAGCAACCCTATTGGACAGAGTAGAACTACCCCAAATGGTTTCCAAGGCTCTAATTTGAAGCAGACTGCCTCATTTTTCTCCTGAAAAGCATCTTCCAGATTCAAACAAACAACCTTTCAGTTAGCAGCTGAGTACTTAACCACTGCCCCACTGACTGTTGTTGTTGTTGTTAAGTGCCGTCGAGTCGTTTCCGACTCATAGCAACCCCATGCACAGCAGAACGAAACACTGCCCGATCCC